TCGCAGAAGATTTTATCATGTATGTAGTAGCTTATTAGTGTACGAATAGGTATTTTTTTTTTCTTCTTCTCGACAAGGGGGAGAAGAATAGTGTAAATGTGTTCGCTGTTCAAGGCTTCCTTCCCCTCCTCTCCCTCTCCCCCTTGTTCCACCGCGCACGGGCGCCGGTTGTCGTGGGCGCATCGCGGGCCTTCCTGACAGGGTGCGATGCATGCTTAAAACTCTTAACTTGCGTATTAGGTATAATATATCCTTCAGGACCCAAGACCAGGAGAAATTTCTCCCTCCCCAGCAAAAAAGCCTTTTTGTGAATGGGCTTGCCTCGCCTTTTGCCCTTCTCTTGGCCATTCCTGCTTTCGTAGAAGCGCCTCCTCCTGCTGCAGATGGACGGACAGGACGTGTGTGGCCTTCTTTATACGTTCCAGGCTGCAGTACTGGACAAACGTGGCAAACCATTCACGGTCGCGATGGGCTTCGAACGTCATCGCTGATTTGCGCGAACTCATGCGGGGAGCATAGGCGCAAAGCGCAAAAAACGGACACCCACCTCTCCTTTTTTTTTTTTTTTTTTTTTTTTTTTTTTTCTTTTTGACGTTGTCGTCGTCGTCGTTGCAGCCGGCGGCATGCAACCCCAACTTTTACATATCAAAGGTAGGTAGGCAGATGATAAATCACACAACTTTTGATCGGACAGCGTCCTCCTTACCGCGCCGCGAGAGGATAGGTTGTGCTTTAGTGAGCAACATCACATACATACCCACGTTATGTAGTAGCCTGGCTAGCAGCAGAAAAGCCATTGACCAATTGACTCCGGGGAGAGACATATCAATAATCAGCCAAAGACCGAGAGCGGAGCCCCGGACCAGAGCAAAGCAGCTTCGCGACTCTATCGATAGGTGATCGCGGATGTAGATTACCTAGTTGGTTGATGAAGTAATGGCAACAGATTGCGCATCTGTCACATTCCTCGGAAAGGCGTTATCCCGGGGTGACGAGGCGTCGATTCTCACGTTATGCTTAGACATAGTATACATCCCGTACATACCTACCTACCTACCTACATACATACATACATATTACTTATCCTATTGTGTATCTGTGGCTGCGGCCGGTGAGCTTCAAGCTGCAAGTAATGGGCTTTTCCCCAATCGCAATCCCCCCAGTAGCTTAGCTTAGCTTAAGACAGGAACTCTCCCCCGGTGCCTTAACTCCGAAACGTGTGATTGTGATGAAGTGATAGGGATGGAATGGATGTTAAATGGATGTGACGAATTTCTAACTAGACCCTTTAGCACATGACCGTCCTACCCACTCAACCCCCATGCGGACCGCGGAGCCGCAGGAGAGCTGTCTACTCCACTTCGAGCCCCCGAGTTACTTTCCGTATATGGCTGCTAGGTAAGGACTCGGTAGCAACATTGTACCCCCAAGCTCTGGGCTTCTGCTAAGAGCATTATTACTAGGAACCAAACCACACCCATGGAATATTACTAGTAAAGATCCAAAGAGCTCCTCGTTCTAACTAGTAAGTGAGTGATAAGGGTTCTAGGATCATCGCGATCACGCAAACGTGCCGCAAGTATTGGCGTTGGAAGAACTTCATGTGTGCCCCAATGACATGACATTGTCCGGGGGTCCGACAAAACAAAAAGGCGTTAGCTCTCCCGCAGCTTAACAGCCAGCCATTATACATTAGAGTCACCAAGGATTGGCCCAATTATTCGAGATCGCTTAGGGATTGCCGCCCACGTTAAGCTTAGATTGCGTGATGAAGATTCGCACCTAAAGGGAACGTTACGCGCTTATATCTGTAGCAAGCTTAAAACATCCTATTATAGCCCCTTTCGGACGTGTTAGGAATCACGATAACGTGAGGTTAGTTTCAAAAGCCTTTAGCATCCTCTTTCAGCTTTACATTGATATATACTCAACTATTGGCTAATTAACTACCTCTTATTAACTGTCTGGTTATGTCCAATCGTGAATTAATACCTATTGGTATTTTTTTACGCCTGTGTATTCAATAAATAAGTATCTGATCATGTAATATCAAGCCTGGCATGCTAAATTCTATTTCAAGAGGACCAGCATCTAGATAATTTACTAAATAATGCAAGCCGATATTTAGCTACTGTCTATAAAAGTCTTTTCCAACATTTTCCGAAGTTCTATGGAGCTCTTCCTTAATATACATATATAAAGAGTATGATTAGCTACTACCTAACATGAAAGTGTTGAGATGAAGGGCTTTGATATATTATATAGTTTTAAAAAAATAAAGACTTGAATGACTATTATATAACTAGTTGTGCTTCATGAAACTAGTCTAAGAGACTATCATAAGGCGATATATACGTTTTCGTCTCTTATGGGGGGTATCTATTCTAGAACAGTAGAACGTCTCGTGTGGTTACTATTATAAATCAAGATGAATCTATATCCCCAATTATAGGAGTATATAAAACTCTTATTACGCAGCATTAGCACTACCCTTTTGGGAATAGAATATAGGATGGATAGTTTGAGACATTACTAGTGTCGTTAAATAGAGTTAAGCAATTCAAATTTCGAAGGAATACCAGGCATTTCGTTAAGTGAACAAGATACACATTTTCAGAAAACATACCTATGTGAGTCTGGTCTACTGAACCTCGAGCTTTCACCTCGTCCGCTTATTGAGTTTGTCATAACAAGAGTCCATTAGAAAGATACCAACTCTCGCCAAATCGCGTTCATAGCCAGTGCTCTCCGATGTATTAACCCTAACTAAGTCTTCGCTATCCCCCAGAACTGCCAGGGGTGAGTCCCACACTGCGAGACTACTTTAGGTCGAACCTTTTAGATAGACTCCAGAGGCAAACAAGCATGAATATCAAAAACAGATGACGTGCTCCAAGGATGCCCAAAAGCCAGAAAATCAAAGAAGTAGATGGGTTTCTTATGGCTAGAATGGGGGATGCCTCCAGAGTCATGACCTCAATCTCTATGTGCCCATGATCTAACTAGTTGAACTTCCAGTATGTGTCTGAAGATAATGGGTAATGGGTCTATGGGTTTTAGAAAGCTCCTAGGAGCTATGGTAGGACATCGGTTTTACTTAGTGGAGGTCTCTGACTCCGTTCGGAGTTCGAAGACCTTCGGAGTTTGCTATTCATTTCCAGATGCTTCTTTGTAATATCAGATCTAGACGGCATGTGTATTACACTCAGAGAAATCTTCAACACTGCCTAATTTTAACTTCGCGGTGAAGTTCTCTGTCAAGCCAAATACATCTTCTGTCTTACGAACTAACTAAAAATGTCCCGACTGGTAAGTGGTAGCTAGCATAAGATTTAAAACCCCTAGTAACAGTAACTTCCCTTTGCTAAACCGAGTCGTTTTAGTTTTGATGAATTCCATAGAAGCGAGGGGAATTAACGATGTAGAGGCAAGTTGAAAGCAGCTCGAAGGTGCGTTGGTCTTTTACCGAAGCTAGATGGAATTCGGCCTTCGAGGTAATATCGAGTAGGCAAATTCGGAAGCCTGGCAATCCCGACCGCGCCTTCAATTAGCAAGTTGCTCCCGAAGTCAAGAACTAGACCCTTTTGGACACTAGACGCCATTGTTCCGTCTGACCAGATTGAGATTATATATGCGAGCTGTCTTATTGTCAGAGGACGAGATGCTCAAAGGACCTAGCATAGGGCTAAGTCATTCTCAAGATATCCTTTCGGCGCAGCCAAGTGCTACCACATATGGTTGTGTCGTATATGTAGTCATACGCGGCGTAGAGAAGATCATTACCGACAGCCTCGAAAGCCTCTGCATATGCGTCAAGTTCATGCTGGGCTTCCTTTTTGCCTTAGACTTCATCTCATGTAGAAACAGAGTGAGTTAAAGTTTTACCTGCACAAATATAGAAACATAACGGTTGGTTTTCTTAGGCTAGGAGTAGCCAAAGCAGCAATGATAAGCTACATTCCCCCTGCTATTTCAACGAATAGCTCCTGGAGCTTCTTTGCCTGGAGATCCGTCGTACTAGAGCCCACGCGTCGTTTATTTGTCTCTAAACCGAGAAGCCTGTGGAATGATGGAGATGGTGGCAACGTCAGGGGAAGTGTCTTTGGCCTTGATCTAGAATCAGCTAGTAAACGTAATTCAGACGTTCTTATTCGGTTTTACCGTTTGGTCTAGCAAACCGAGGAGTGTGTCATAGTCGACACACTCGTCGCCCAAGGCATCTATGACAATAATTAAATAAGATTTGCTTTCAGAAAAAAAATCTCATCCAAAATCTGAACGCATTCTAAACGGGATAAACCTACACCAGCTAGATTCTTGCGAAGGTCCTGGTTACGTCTAACAAAGGTTATCGTAAATGGCTGTGCCACAGATGGACACAAAGAGCTAACCGACTCTGGGTTTTACATAGAATAACAAGTGATATATTTAATTCATCGTGTCTGGATAATGGCGAATAACTTGGACGACCTCGCAACTAATAATTTGGATGAAAGCCATCACAATTGATCTTATGTCTAGACGGTATAGTGTTTGGTATAGTAAGTGTCATATGGATTCGGGTTAGTTCAGTTCAGTTGTAGGAGACGTAAAATCGAATAGCGGCTTCGCGTTAGATAACCCGAAAATAAGGTTTAGTCTTGAAGCAAATCCAGACACGCCATATGAACAATCGGCTATTATTAGTATCGATTACTAGTTGGAACACTTGAGCTTTCCGACATTAACTTCCAAATCTCTACGGATCCGTCCGTACTTTCTCCCCATTGTCCTTCCGAAGGTGGTTGATTGGCTCCTTTAACGCGGGGTGGAGATTCGCGTTTAAGCGTATATTACCTAATCCCCACTCTAGGGTTACAAGCTAAAAAGAAATTTGAGGCTATTCGTTTATTTTTTTCTCGTACAGATCCCACAAAAAATATATATATCGGCCCACACACACTCACTCGAAAAGGGGAAAGGAAAAAAAAAAACAAAACAAAAATACGACAAAAATGTAATGCCCACTACTGGAGTCGAACCAGTCATCTCCTCATAAGCTTCCTTAGTAGTATTCTTCTGAATACTAGTGAGGCGCATTACCGCTGTGCCAAGCGGGCGTTGTTGTGGATTTGTTGAAAGACGGTTTGGAAAGTCCACATATGTACCATGCTGTTTACAAATTGGATCCCGTAGCATGAACAAAACGTGGATACTAGGTTACCAACTTGTCTTGTGAACGCCCCGAAGTACCGTCAAGATAAGTCTCCTAAGAATCTCGGGTTAGGTTTGTATAACAACTAGAAGATGGATCATATACTACCTCCCCCCAACCCTTATACCCTCCTTCCAAAGATAGCTTACTTAGTATATTCTATACGTGTTAGTGCAAAGCGATGGTGCCCTTAACAGGAGGCGCAATGGTGGGCTCGTTGCTTCATGGTGTTCATTCTATAAACACATACTATCTATATCTCTAAAGGTAAGGTACATAAATCCCTCAAGCACCCATAGCAAGAACCGGCTCTATACCGCAATTCATGCCATCATATCTATAAGTGTACTTTACACTCTAAAACAACAACTCCCTTCTATCGTACCCACCAGCTAGCTCTATCCTCATCTTTATATAGCCAGTTCGCTGATTATCTCATCTCATGACAAAGTATATCTCGTCAACACCGTGAAAAGTCGGCAAAGCCCTCAAGAATATACGACTTCTGTCTGTTTTCCGCCCCCTCCCCCCCCCAACCTGAGTCTCTCAGAGAACTCGCATAGTACTGTTGTAGTTTCCCTACACGCTCAAGACCTCCTCGTCCCATCTTGGCTTTGTCCCTGGCCGAATAGATCGACGGCCGGGGTATGGTATGGCTCTTCAGGGGCCCACGGGGTAAGAAAAGCACCGCTCTTCGAGGCCTTAGCTGCGTCCGCCGCAGTCCACGATGACTGGTTGTTCTGCGCCCGCGACTGCGAGTACTGAACGGACGCAGAGGTGGTCAAGTTGATCCGTGAACGTGTCGACTTCTTCATCGGGTGGGACATTGTTGGCCAGTTGCTGGGCGCTTGTTGTTGACTTCTGTGTATTGCTGAGCTTGCACAAGGCTGGACGAAGTAGATTGGGTTTGTTTGAGGATAAGAGGGTCAATTGAAGATAGTAATGCTTCGGGCCACGTACAGACTGTATATACGATATGTCTATTGTGTATATATCTCTTAAGAAATAGTAGTAATGGGTGTAAGAAATTTCTATCCGTTGGTTTCTATGGGCCAGAGAAAAAGTAAAGAAACTAAAGTTTTCTTTCTACGCGGAGTTTTCTTCCTTTTTATACACAGAGGCAAGTACGCCATGGGGCAAAATACGCACGCCTTCCTTTTGTTGCGCTGCAGGACGTATCCGCCGAACGGAGGCCCGAGGGACTGGACTGGGTCCTGTTCTTGCAGCACCCTCATCACGGGGGAACCACCTACCCAACCCACTTGGAGTAACGGCTACAATTACTATATAATAAGTTTGACAGGTCTCAACTAAAACAAGGTACCGGATTCCACAATCCTAAGTGCAATAGCCGAACTCCTAGGTCAACCTTGTTACGTAGGAGTAGGACAGAATCTCGCATATTGATCGATACTTTTAGGTAACTGAGGCGCTCCGGCGTGGGAGATAGGTAAGTCCGAAGTACAATATGATGCGATGTGAACCAAGGAAATGGGACGTCGGAGAGAGACAGATACTACATGTAAATATTGGACTCGGGTCTATCGATAGTGCTATAAGACATCTCGTCCGGAGCTGAGGCAAAAGATGGACAACGGGCGTTTATGTCACACCAGCCAGAGACTTACAGGTTCGGGGATTCAATCGTAACCAATCATGTAGGGTATGGGGAATTGCGGCTGCCCAGCTTGCCGAAATTCAAGACACTTTGATGCGCATAAGCAGGTCTTCGTGGTCGTAGATGGACCGCGTGGGACGACATGGATTGTGTAGCCAGAATACTGGGGTCGATGTATGGGGATTGACTCCAATCTTCAACGTGATCCTTGCTACCCGTGGAGCTCGTATGAATCCTCGGCACTATTATCCAATGTTATCGAACGGGACATGCTTAATTACTTCGTAAATTTTTAATCGGATTCCAGCGTTAAAGTACCAGGTAACCTAACCTCCTAGCTTGCCAATAGCTCGCCGGCTCCCGAAACATATCTGATTCGCATTACCACTTGCTACTTCTTTCTATCGCCTTAACCATACTCTCGGGTCCAAGCAGGATGAATGGATTTCGCACAAGGTAACCGCGGAACGATTAGTGCTTTGTGGCCTACAGAATAGAGCTTATGCGGCAGCCTTGGTTGCGTCTTTCTCCTCCTTAGCATCCTCCTTGGCCTCCTCCTTGGTCTCCTCCTCACCCTCAAGAGCTGGCATATCATCGTCAGACTCGTCGTCCTCCTCGTCGCCACCAGGCATACCACCAGCAGCGCCTAGCTTAGAGAAGTCGATGCCTCCGAAGTCACCACCGGCACCACCTAATATGAACATGTTAGTTTCGTCATCATTGGTATATATTAATCTGGGCCCCCGAATGGCTGTAGCACAAGGGGTCTGAAAGTTACGTACCCATACCTGGCATGCCTCCTGTAAAAGACAATCGTTAGCTAAAAAATTCTGCAAATATGAGGGCTTGATAATTTATCTTCTTTCTCCTTTTCGACTTTCAGGGGTCGTGTGTGTTTAGGGATATCTTGTGGAATTTAAGGACTTCACGTACCCATGCCACCGAATTGCGAGAAGTCATCTTCAGGAGCCTCGTTCTGCTCATCCTCATCGACCCACTTGTCGAAGTCGGTCTTCAAGAACTGAACCTTCTTAGAGTCCTTGAGAAGACGCGGCCAGTACTCATCGTTGAGCTCCTTCTTGCGCAACTTGAGCTCTACATTGCGGTCTGTGTGGTGGACTTTGCTCTCTGCGGGGTCGATCTCAGCGTAGAAGGTCAGTTCTAGGTGGTACGTTCGCTTCAGGGTCTCGGAGTGACCGGTGAAGGTCAGGCCTGTAGGCTGAAGGTCGAGCTTCAAATTCTCCTTAGGAACATCGGGAACCGAAATAGTGAGATAGATGAAGTTCTTCTCGGGTTCCGCATTGGAAGAGCGCTGAGCCCATAGTACTAAGTAGAAGAATAGTTAGTTAGCTTAACGTATTCTAATAATTAACTATAGGCATAGGGCCTAATATCCATGTAAGTAGCATAGACATTAGTTTGGTTATGTGCCACTCTACTCAGTCCTCTGCGACAGAGTAAGGCCCGGAGTTCGCCAATTCAGGTACTAAACTCACCTTCGGGAGTGACCTGGGACATAATGACTGCTATTGGGTATCTGAATTTGTTGGTGGGGTGATAGGATATGACGTCGGTAAAAGTGTGAAGGTGTGAAGGTGTGTAGAAAGGTCGTGGGTTGAAATAAGTAGTCAAGATTGCTTTCGTAAATACGACTGTAGACAGGTCTTTTTACTTGATTGAATTGGTGGGAAGAGAAGTTTAAGAAATAGAAAAAATAGTATGAGGCTGTTCCAAAAGCTTAATGATGCACCCCTCCGACGAACATCGAACCCGCACGAAAGCGGCGGAAGCAACAGGGCTGGATTTGGATTTGCACGGGGGGTAGCTGCCTGGGCTTCACCTGCAATTCGCACTGTAAGAGGTTAGCCTAATTGGGCATAGACTTCGCCGGTACATTTGTATAGTAACAAGTAAAAAGTATAATACCTTCGTATCTCCATCAATAAGGCAGAACATAACCCCAAATAGCTTACATACACTTACATACAATGCTGCCTACTTCAAGAAACTCAGCTTTACAGAAACTTACAGGTATGACTCTTTTCAAATATGTCCGTCTTATCTTTATTTAATTTTTTCAAAGAGCGTAGTATTGATAAAAAAAAATATAATCAGACCCCGAGATGACTGCATGAAAGCAGAGAAATTCCAGAAGCCTCGTCTATGTATCTTAGGTCCCAAAGTTCTGGATTCATCTGCATGGATAATATTGAAGTTGCATTCTTTGATATAAGATTACATACGTTAGTAGGTAAATGTAGAGAATACAAAGACTCAAGTATAACAAGACCTCATTTGAAGATCTTTCTAAGGATACTGTGCTTTCGTCACCGATGTAAAACGTGTAAAACGTGATTTCTGATAGCCATTGCGAAGATAGCTACGCTAGAATTGTAGACAAATGCTAAGATGTAATTCAGAAAATGTGAGAAATGATATCTTTCTTCAAATGTACCCGGGTATCTGCAGCTGCTCTTAAGAGCTAGATTTGTATAGGTACTAAAATCTATAGTTTTACGTAAGCATCGAGACCCCTTGACACTGTGTCAGGATAACGGTCTAGCACTTTAGCGGGGTTAGGCTGTTCCTGAATTCCCCCATTCTTTTTCCCTTGTCAGCCTGGACCAACGTCATTTAGATCGCGTTAAGATGCATTACACTTAACAGACCACCATTTACCATTCATCTATCAAGTCCCACTACTCAACCCTCCTTATCTAACCTAACGTAATTCAGCCTTCCCCCAGACTGCTTTGCCAGATCTCATCTGAGGTTCCTCGGCAAGAGCCGCCTTTTTTTTTTCCAATTTTAATCTAGACCTTTCAACCTAGAGGAACCGTACAATAAATATATCAATAAATACACCCCAAGATGGAGAGTCTCAAAGCACTCTTCGTCAAACCAGACCCAAATGCCCAGGTAGGCAATTCCTTATATATGGTGATGCATATAATCTATATAGAGGATGTTTCCCACTTACGCCACTCTACGATAGATGCGAAAATGTAACGCCTTAATACGATCCAACATCCGCAAGCTCGATCGAGACATCAACCAAGTCAAGCAAGTCGAGATCAAGACCAAAAACCTCATCATCCAAGCGGACCGACGAGCGCAACGCAACCCTTCACAAGCGAAGCAGGCGCAGCGGGAAGCGCGAGACTTCGCAAAGGAGCTGATCCGGGCGCGGCGCACGTCGGCGAGGCTAGTAACGTCCAAGGCGCAGCTCAACAGCGTGCAGATGCAAGTGAACGAGGCGTTCGCCGTGCGGAAGATCGAGGGCAGCA